TGATTAAAAAGCGATAAACTTTGATTGAGGTACTTTAAAATTCATAATTTTTAATTAGACTTAAGTTGAAGCCAGATCATCAGATGGATATATTTTGAGAATATTTGTCATTGCATTCACCAAGAGTATTAAAAATCAATAAAGAAAAACCACTTATGCTTAAAGAAGTTAAATCAAAGATATCAGAAAGAAGATTGTTGAAATAGTCCTCAAGGAAGTCTCCAAGAAAAGCATCACTTAATTACTTAATTTTTTCAATTAAGAAACTCTTTCAAAAGAAATTGGAAAGGCCACTAGAGGTATTTTCCCACTCTAAAACATTACATTAAGAAAAGTGAAGTTGGTTAAGAGACCCAAGGTTGATGGTAATATTTTTCATTTAAATGTTTAGCTTAAAAATTGAGAGAATTCTATGATGATTCCCAAAGATCCAAAGGTACAATTAGAAGACATGGTCAAGCAGAAGACTAAACTGCTTTAAATCTTATCAAATAAGGACAAATAGATAAGGAATAAGCAGAATAAAAATAAGAATGATGATGAATTTATTACAGTATAAACAAAATAGTACATATATTAATATTAGAGAGATTAAAAACAATGTATGTATTTATATATATATTGTATTTGATATCTTAATCAATAGTGTATTTTAAATATAAAGATTTTTTTTAATTTAATTTGAGGAAATAAGATGTCTTAATAGGCTTAAAAGGGTGGAAAGGGAGCATAGACTAAAACTGATGCTAAGCCATAAACAGCTCCATAAGCAAAAGTTGCTAAACCATAAGAAACTAAGGAAAATGTTATGAGAAAAATTAGAATTGAAAAATTGATGGTTCATATTTGTGCTGGTGAATCAGGAGATAAATTGACTAAAGCAGCTAAAGTCTTGGAAGATCTTACAGGATAAAAGCCTGTTTTTGGAAAAGCAAGATATACAGTGAGATCATTTGGTATTAGAAGAAATGAAAAAATCTCTGTTTTTTGCACAATTAGAGGCGATTAAGCTAGAGATATTCTAGTTAGAGGTTTAAGAGTGAAAGAAATGGAATTGAAGAAGAGAAACTTTTCTGATTCAGGAAACTTTGGATTTGGTATTTAAGAACATATTGATTTGGGATTAAAATATGATCCATATACAGGTATGGAATTCAACAAATATAATTAGGTATTTTTGGTATGGACTTCTATGTTGTGTTGTCAAGACCAGGATTGAGAGTTGCTTAAAGAAAATCAAGAAATTCAAGATTGGGCACATAATAAAGAGTGACTAAAAAGGAAGCTGTAGAATGGTTCAAATAAACCTTTGAAGGAAACGTCTATTGATACAATACAATATTACATTAAATAAACATATAAAAATATAATTTTTATTTTAATATGGGTTGTGGATCATCGTAACCAGCTGCTGAACCTGATCAAATATCAAAATCTTTGAAAAGTGCTAACACATCAGAAATAGAAGACTTGATTGGCAAAAAAATACCTAAAGTACTATGTAGATAATATTGGTAAGTTACTAATTTAAGCTGAAATGAAACATCGATTTACTGCTGATGAAGAAGCTATTAAAAAGTATTAATTTAAAACAAAAATTTTAGCGACTTAATTTAATTGTAATCTCCATAAGAAAATGAGAATGTAGTAGCAAGAGCTTAAAAAAAAATATAAAAAAAATATAGAGGAGGAGAGGATGTTGAAGGCTAAATAATTGAAAATGTGAAAAGAGTTGAAAGAGAAATGCAAGGTATAGTATTAATAATTTTTATTTCTCAGAAAGTGATGTTGATTTAATCATTAAAAGCTTCAAAAATCATTTTGTATTTTTTAGTCTTCCTCAAGATTCTCTATAAAAATTAATAGAAAATATGTTCTATTGTACAATAAAGGCAGGAGAGTTTGTTTTCAAATAAGGAAATTAGGTTAATGAACTTAGTTGATATAGTAGGCTAGTGCATATTTCGTAATTGAAAGAGGAGAAGTCTAAATAATTATAAATGAAAATCCCATAAGAGTGCTTTAATAAGGAGATTAATTTGGTGAAATTGCTTTATTATATAATGCTACTAGATCTGCTTCGACAAAAGCACTTACTAATTGTGGATTTTGGTCTTTAGAAAGAGCTACTTTTAAGAAAACTATAGAAGAGATAACTTTAAAGGAATATGATGAAAACAGAAAGTTTATAGATTAAGTATTTATGGATAATTTAATAGGTTAATTTTTTTTCTTTTATGACATCTGAATAAAGAGATATGATAGGACATGCTTTAATCACAACCAAATTCAATCCTGGATAGAATATAGTAAATGAAGGAGATTAAGCAGATTCATTTTATGTTATAAAAAGTGGTTAAGTGTAAATATTGAAAGGAGACAAATTAATAAGAAAAATGGGTGCAAAAGATAGTTTTGGGTAAAAATATAGATTTAATAAATTTTTAGAGAATAAGCATTATATGAGAAATCAGTAAGAGGGGCAACAGTTAAAGCAGAAACAGAGGTTAAATGTGTGGCATTGGGAAGAGAAAATTTGACTAAGATATTGGGAGATAAAATATAACTAATTATTTTCAATAATATAATGAGATGGAGTTTTGAAAAAAGCGAGATTTTAAAATAATTAACAAAAATTTAATTGGAAAAAATATCATAAAAAGCAAAAATTGAAAATTTTAAAAAAGGTTAAATTATATTTGAAGCTAATAAACCATGTGATAAATTAGTTGTTGTTTTAGAGGGTGTATTAATAAATTCAAAATAAGAATCAATCAGTAAAGGTTCTTGTTTTGGAGATTAATTTTTATAAAAAGAATTATATGGATCATTACTTGAATGTGCTTTTTCTATGGTAGGAGATGGTGTATTAGCAACAATTACTTATTAAGCTTTATTTAAGATATTTGGAGGGGATTTAGAAACTGCATTAAAGAAAAATGAAAATTCTCATGAAAAGAAAATATAATAAATTGGTTAAAGGGAGGATGCTTCTCATATTTTTGTAGAAGATTTAATTTATATAAAGAAATTAGGTGAAGGACAATTTGGAAGTGTATATTTGGTTAAACACAAAGAAATTAATAAGGTATTTGCTTTGAAAAGTGTAAGCAAAGCATCTATTATTGAATAAAATTTAGAGAAACATATTACGTAAGAGAAAAAAGTATTAGAATAGATAAACTTTCCATTTATAATGGGATTTGTAAGAACATTTAAAGATGATATGTCCATTTATTTTTTAGTTGATTTTATCAGAGGAATGGAGTTATTTGATGTAATAAGAGATATAGGATTGTTATCTAAACCAGAGACATAATTTTACATTGGTACAATGATTCTTTGCATAGAATACTTACATTCTAAGAGTATTGTATACAGAGATTTAAAACCAGAGAACATAATGGTAAATGCTTAAGGTTTTATGTATTTAATTGATTTGGGTACTGCTAAACCACTTTTAAAAGCTAAAGCATGTAGAACATATACAATTATTGGAACTCCTCATTATATGGCACCTGAAATAATGGCAGGAAAAGGATATACATTTACAGTAGATTTGTGGAGTATTGGAATATGTATGTATGAATTCATGTGTGGAGGAGTGCCATTTGGTGAAGAATTAGAAGATCCATATCAAATATATGAAGAAATTATGAATACTTAAATTAAATATCCTACATTCTTAAAAGATAGATATGCTAAAAAATTAATGGAACAGTTAATGAACAGATAACCTGAAACTAGATTAGGTGCATCTTATTCAGCATTAAAAGCTCATCCATGGTTTGATGATTTTGACTTTGATAAACTTTTTAGTAGGGAACTCAAACCTCCTGTATTATTATCTAATAACATTTTTAGTATATGCCTAAATCAGAAAATATGGTCTCTGAAAATGATATTTAAAAGAGATTTAATCAGAATAAATTAGTTGTTTAAGAAATCAAACATGAACAAGATAATCACAAAATCAAATATAATAAGCATCTTGCTAAAGATCCTAATTGGGATAAAGACTTTTGAGTAAATATAGATGTATCAATTAATGAAAACAACATTTTCTATTTTCGACAAATTGACAATTACTTTTAAATATAATATTTTAAATTCATTATTTTTATTTAATGTCAATATTGTCAAAATTTACATCTATCATTCTAATTAAACCTTATATCAATTATTATTTATTACATTCAATCAGAATACTATTCCTATTAGGTATGTAAAACTAATTTTATGGAAAAAATTAAACAGTCAAAAAATATCACTTAAAACATATGTAATCCAAAACTTAATTTTTTATATATATATATTTTTTAAATTATTGATTAAAATATAATACTGACTATTAGATATACTCTTTCAATTTATAAAGTATATTTATATTAAATATTATTCTTAGATTCTCTTAACATTCATCAGTAAACTTTTACTACTCCTGAAAAATATAAGAATAGGTGTAATAATTTTTAAGATTTTTGTAAATAATTGAATTTAATATCAAAGGACTAAGATAGTAAAGATATTGGATTCCTCCCCACCCCTACTAGAAAACCTAAAGTAGATAACTAACATTTTAATAGATCAATTATTTAAAAAGATTCAGTTATAATTCTTAGTATATCATACTAATTCTGCTGATTTAGTAGAAATAAACATTAAATAATTAAAAAATAAGACTGAAAGTACTATTCATTTATATAATATATGATAAAGAAATTGTGTAATTTAATTTATAGTTTAAAAATTCTTTGTATTTTAATTAATTATTATAATTCCATTTAAAAAGCTTTCCTTTATCTAATAGAACTCTAAAATATGATTTAATTACAGAACATATCCTGATTCAATAGTGTGATGAATAATTAAACTCAATTCATGATAAGAAGATAATTGATAATTGTAACATTTTGGGCTTTATTTGATTGGATGAAAAATACACAATTTGAATATAATAACCGCGAATATATTGGCGCGTGTTTACTATATTAAAATTAATGGATATCTCTGTTTGCTAAAATCCAAATCACGATTCTTAACGTCTAAAATATATATGTGTAGATCCTAATTGTTGTGTTCCAAAAAAAATAGGTATTATTTATAATTTAATTAAGGTTGTGCTGATTGTTTTCTTGATGATCATATAACTCATATTAGAAAAACAACTACTCAATTTAAGGAATAGGTAAGTCAATCTATTGAATAAATATCTCAAATAGAATTCTAAAAAATTATCAGCTCTCCTTAAAAGGATTTAGATTGTTAAATAGATTTTGAATTAGAAAATTGTATTGATTGTATTAAGTCAAGATTTACATCTATCAAAAGCGATTTAAAATCTTAAATTGACAGTGATATGACAAAAGTATAAGATAATTGCAATTAATTTCAACAAAATATGAAAAATGAACTTGATCCATTTAAATTCACTATATAAAATGAATTACCTACTCTGAATCATAATGAACTTAATTAATTAGTTAAATTTTATTAAGAAGCCCCAAAAATTCACAAACATTATTCTAAAACAGCTGAACTCTTATAAGATGAAAAATAAAAAGTAAAATAAAAAAAATAAAAATACTTAAACAAAATGAAAAGTATAATGCAAATATTACTGAAGGAGTTTAATGATTTAATGACATCAAAAAATGTACAATTTGATGATGGAAGTGAATATGAGACTCCATAAAAATAAGCAATGTCTCCAAATAAAATGATAAATCTTGTAGAAACTGCACGTTCTTCAAGACGCTTCCCAATGTCTTAATCTTAAAAAAAATATTTTTTAGCTGCTGTGACAAAAAAATTAGATTGATTAATTTATTTATTATAGTTATTATATATGATTTAATATAAACTTCTTTGAATTCAAAACTATTTTCTTTCAATCATTTTTTATTTCTTATTAAATTTAGTTTTATATTGTATTTTATTTTATTAGTTTTATGGTCTATGTCAAACTCTTGTACAAATATATCAAATACTTAATGGATAATCACAAAAGATGTTTTATTATTTTGATAATCTGTATTTTCTAAACTGTATTAAATCATTCTAAGTATTAAATAAAATTTTTATAATTAATCTAATTATCTCTTAATATTCTCTATTAAAGTAAATATAAATCAATTTTTATCTAAAGAAAATTTTTTTGGCTTAAATGAAAAAAAATATATGTATTATATAAAGATTGACAATAATTTAAATAAAATATCTTAACCATAGCAATTTCACTTTTCTTATTGATCCTTCAGATAAATAATTGATTTATAACTTCTTATAAGAACTTCCTTATCTTATATTCTATAAAAATTCTCTTATCATTTTGTTTTAATTATTTATACGCTATCTATTATTGTTATTATTAAATACTTATGAAAACCTTAATAACTACACATATATTAATTACTATATCTAAAATTAGTATAATGTAATCTATGATGTTAGTGGATTTTAATATGAATAAAAATTAGATATTATTATTTAATGTTAATTTATAAGAAAGCAACTGCTTAGGGTATCATATTTTGAGTTATAAATAGAACTATAAAAGTATAGGGAAGATCAAGTTAAGAGTTGGAAAAAGGAGAAAGATTTATAAAGATTAACAGAAACCCAAGTCAATTAAATGATGGATTTATTTCTTTTATTTGCTAGTCAACGTACATTTACAATAAGAGTATGATATTTTGTGATATGCAGACAAAAGATGTTGAAGCCTAAAATACTCTTTTAAGAGTGAATGAAGAATCAACTTTATTTTAGAATGTATTATCAAAAATGATTCTGGTTGATGAAGATCTAAATTTTATCAATTTTTTGAAGCTCTATTTGCAATGCATTGTAAATATAATTAGCAATTTTTATAGGGGGAAGCATAATAAGAAGAATAATTAAAAGAATTGTATACAACTCTAACTGCGAAAGGGACAATCACTTTGGAAGACTTAAAAAGATTGGCTTAAGAGTTAGATCACTATCATCTTAAAGAGGAAGACTTAAATGAAATTATGAAAGTGATTTCTGGCAATGGCCAAGAAATTACATAAGAAGATTTTATAAGATTTTATACACAGATAGTGAAAAGTTAAAGATAATTATGATAAAAATTATATATAGGTTTAGTACATAATAAATAAACTATTACACTATTCTTGAACTCAATGCAACATGCACCTAGAAACAGATCAAACAAAACTATCTAAAACTAGCCAAAATCTATCATCCTGATATTTATAAGGGAAATGATACCAATAGGTTAGATTTTAAATATCATTTTAGATTCAAACTCATTTAGGAAGCGTATAATACACTTAAGACTCCAGAGAAAAGACAATCATATGATCAAACTATATTTAAGGAGAGAGCATTTGCAAATTAAGAGAGGCCTTAAAGTAGTGAATCCGAAGAAACTACATAGAATAATGAATATACAGCCAAACAAACAAAAGATGGAATTAATTTCACATTCACAAAAAAGGAATATAAGGATGCAACTGAGGAAAAGACTGTGGAAGAGGAGTTTAGGAAATTCATGTAGGAACCTCTAAAAATAAATCCAGAAGAAGTTAAAGTTTATGAAAATGTTGTTGCTAGACAAATGACAAAGGAACATAAGGCTTAAGATGAATTTATTATTGCTAAAGAAAATAAATGGAAAATCTTCTTTTTTTAAGCACATTAGATTGGATATGCTTAATAAGTTAAGGAATATATTAAAGGTATAAATTAATAGTGGTAATAAAAAAAGAATGATACTGAAGAGATGAGATAATTGAAAAAACAAATGTAAAAGCGTATTGCTAATGTAATATTATTTATATCATTAATTTTAGACTATTTTCTTCATTTTTATTGGGTTATCATTACCATTCTTTTACTCAGCTTTAGCAAGAAGACAAGAAATTGATAAAGATTTTAAAGAAGATTTAGATTTTCTTTATAAAGTAGCAGATCAAATGGATTATTTGGAAATATCAACAAGGTTTGTCTATTGAGATAAAATTTTAATTATATAATATAATAAGAAAAAAGATATTAATTAAATTAATTTTTTGAGAAAAAATGTCTAATTAAGTTAATTTTGGAGAAGGGAAAATTAATGATAATTATCCATCTGCTATAAAGACAATGTTAGAATAAGGAAAGGATCCAAAAGATTTATTAATTTAATATTGCAGACCATAATGTAAATGGTATGATGATAAATACGACAGATGTGTAAAAGCATTCTTATCATTGAAAAATGCTGATCCTGAGAAGAATTGTGTACATTTAACATATATTCATTAAATAGATGTATCCATATAGAGATTTGGTTACATGTGTTGAAGCATGTGTATAACCTAAAATATAGCATGCACTCAAAGGCAATGAACACGGTTTCATATTCCATTGAAATAATATGATCTATAATAAACATAAATAATAACAATTATTAAAAATCTCATAACATTCTGTTCTTTTAAGATTCAAAAATTAGTTTATTTTTATAATTATAATATATATTTTAACAACAATAATCCTATATTATATAAGAGTATCAAAATTATATATATAATTTTTGATACTCTTATATTTTAAAGAAAAGAAGTTGGGACTAAATTTAACAATATAAGAATGAATCTAAAGAATATGTATTCAATTATATTAATAGTAAAATTACTCTAAAACTGAATATCATTTTGATTTCTCGCTCCAACACTCACACTTACAAAAGAAAAATGATTAATTACTAGATAAAAACCTATGAAGTTGTAAAAACCATTATAAAATTCTTAAAAATAGCTGAAAATATCATATACATATTTTATAGAAATTATGAATATTATAAGAATATATTAACTTATCTCCAAAGGTTAATGAAAATTTATCATTTATTTACTAATAATCATCTTATCAAGATTATGTATCTCTTATTTTATTTCTTAATTTATTAATTTTGAATGATAAACTAAAATCATTAAAGAAGTAATCCAAATTTGTAAATAAGTATTTGCTTTTAATTTTAAATATAATTTAAATATTCTTAATAATTAAAACAAACCTTTAACACAGAAATCACATCATAAATGGTTCTACTATTAAAATTATTTAACTCAGTTTTATTAAATTTAGATTATATTTTCTATCCTTAGTTACTATTTACTAAGTTTATTGAAATTCATTATGTCATTCCTTATAATATTTTTTGCCTTTGTCTTTCAGAAATTTAACTCATCAAAAATTAATTAATAAAAATGTCATCTAAAAACTATAAATTGATTCATTAGAAAATTCCAAATACTACTCGTTATAGAGATGATTAATTGCCAATCAATAATAAATACTATGTTCGATTAACATAAGATTCTACTAGAGTTCTAGATTTGATTGAATAGGATAAATAAATTCCACATAAATCAATGATTGATCGATTTTGGGGATACAAAACATAAAGATTACCTGAACCTATACATTAAGAAGAAAAACATGTTCAATTGCCTTAGGAAGTTATTCCTTAATAAGAAAAGCAAGAAATTCTACCTTAAATTGAAAAATAACCTGAAACATAAATGAAGAAAGCCATTAGCCTAAAATAATTTAAGGAAAGTTTACTCTATGATGAAAGAACTAGTTCTATACCTAAAACTACTATGCATAATCATATCGTTGAAGATTTAATAAGAGATAGTGATATTTTCTTAAAGAAACCTGAATTATTAGAGCAAGTGCAGAATTTGAAGAGATTAAAAGTGCTAAAGAAATATGAAGCTAATCAGTAATTTTTAATTAATATTTAGTTCTAATCTTCCTGGAGTAGGTAAATTACCATACATTATCAACGATTATCATTCAAAAAGTACCAATCCCGGATACTCAAGAAATAATAAAGGAAATTTTTTTACAAGATGAAGAAATATAAAGATATTTTTAAATTTACAATTATTATATATGAACAGTCTCTCACAATTAAATATTTAACAATAGTAGAATCTCTATATTAAAGAAGTCAAATATTAAAGGTTTGCTTAGAATTTTAATAAAATTGATTCTAAGAGAGATATGATTAGTAAAGAAAATTGAAATTAAAACTTTTCGTGCTTATAACATGAGTATAAGAATAGAAATTAACATGTTCTTACTTGATCTTGCTAAAATATTTGAAACTGCCAATTTTGAAACTAAAACATAAGCATAATTTTTTATTTAATATAATAGTTTAGTTTTGAAAAAGGCTGAAGATATTGAATATATCTTAGCTATTATCTTCCATTTTAGCTAAATTGTAAACTTAATGCAATTATTTAGCATATAATTGTTATTTCAAAAGAATTAGTTAAAAATCTAATATTTTAATTAACACAAAATAATCATAACTGTATTTGAAATTTAACGCTATCAAATTTGAACATCTTTTGAAGCTTTTCCCAATTAATTGCACATCCTTCATTAATTTTTATTGATTTTTAACAAACTCGGCATTCAATACTTGTGTTTTTTAGATGTTTTATTACGAAATAATCTTTAAAGACTTTTAGTGAATCTAAAATACTTAGATGATTGTAAAGCAAAAGTTGGATATTTAAATTGTTTAAGATTCTGTTGATAGTATTGGATCAGATGATTTATAGATTAATTTTTCTAAAATTAAATAGAAAACATTGTTTTAAAAGATTTATATTAATCCTGCTAATTAAATTTGTAAAGATCAAAAACCTATATAATACGAAGTTGTTATAATTCTATTTTTTTAATTGTATTAGAAAAAAAAAGTTTTATAAATACAAGTTTATTATTAGATAAGAATATGGTTTATATTTCATTTGTTAATGTAGTGTAAATAACCAAAAAATTATTTCATTCATTCTTCAAATCCAATAATATATAATTATAAGGTCCTCATTTAAAATAAAATGTATTTAATTTATTAAACTATAGAATTTATATTAACAATAAATTAATGAAAAAATAAAATCATATCAATTTAGATTATATTTTACACAAAATTTATGACTTTAGTTCTTCTCTTTCTAAAAAATCTTTTTCCCATTAGTCAAGTTGTAACATTTCTTAGAAATCACATCCTAAAACTGATATATTAATTGATTTCAAATTTAATTAATTTAATTAATCAAATAAGTGTTTACATTTACTAAATTAACTATAATTGGCCATAATCTAATTCTTAAGATTGAATCGTTTTTAGAAATCAGGATAATAATTTTAAATCAGTTTAAATTTATGGATTTATGTTTGTATAAACGGAATAATATCTCTAAAATTTGAATTTGCAATCTACTTAACCCTTTTGAAGAATTCTATTCTTTCTTAATAACTAATCATCCATTAATTAAATAATTCAATAATTTCTTAAAGCATCATTTTAACTTAATGATATTCAGAAAATTCTAATAAATATCAATAAAATATTTTACCAACATAATCAACAATGAAATCATTCATAATATTGATTTAAATTCCTAAATATTTAGTTTGAAGTCTTTGATCTTAATCTTAATTTTCTACAAATTTTTATCTTCTTTATTTCATTTATTTATTTTTACTATTATCAAGATCATTTTCTTTAAATAGACTATTATAACTCATGAATTATTCCTTTTAAGCTGGTATTTCATCATATTATTTTATGATAGTATCTATTCTATTCATTTATTTTTAATTATTTTCTTATTCCAAATATTAAGGTTATGATGTTTCCCCATGTCTTTTCTATTATTTAACTCCTTTTTCCAATTAATTTTAATATTATGTACGTTATTTTTTATTTTGATTCTTTTATTAATTATTTTGTTCTTATTAGTCTGATTTTTGTATATTATTTTTTTATTTTTATTTATGTAAATTAACTTAAGTATATGAAGATTCTTATGATTCATCCTCTGTAATTTATTTATGTTAATAAATTGGATTAGATTTATGATTGTATATTTAATCTTATTTTTAAAGAGGAATATTGATTTATTTATCTTAATCTATACTATCAAAATTTTCTTATTAACTTCTTAATTTTTCTTAGATAATTTAATCTTATAAGGCTATTTCTAATTATTAAGTCAATTCTTATATTTATTTTTGAAGTGATTTCATTATATCTTAATATTTTGTTTCTTAATCTTTTAATAATTAACTATGCTTTTTTTATTCATCTTATAATTTCTTAAGTTTAACATACTCCACAGATTTCAATCTTGCAATTTCACTTTTTTCTCTTTCTAATCTTTTTTTCTCAGCATCAACTCTTTATTTCCATTCTAACTCAAAATCTTTTTACAATTAATTTTTCTCTTACTCAAGCTTTTTCTTATACTATAATCTTATTTATTTAGATTTTCTTTAAACTTCTTCATTTATTTACTCTTCCAATTCCTCTTACATTTTGAATCTTAATTATTGCTCTAATTAACCTCTTTATAGAGAATCATCAAATTCACGAATAACATCTTAAGCCAATTATTCCTTCTATTGTTCATAGTCAATTCTTATTTGCTTTTCTAATTCATCTCTTATTTATTCTTCATTAAATTAAGTCAATTCATCTAATTCTTATTGAAATTTTATTTGATATTCAATTTATAATTCCTAACTTACTTGTTCTCTAATCTCTTTTTCAATATCTGGAAGCAATTCACGTACTGTTTCTAAAATAATTTCGTTAGACATATTTTTAAAAATATTATCAAAAATAATGGAATTAAAGTCAAACTTTGGTGGCAAATCTTCTTTAGATTAGGATAAATCAGCTATAGACAAAATTCAAAATGAAGTGAAATTGATATATTTCAAAGTCACTCAACAGTTATTAAAAGAGGAAGAACAATCAATCATACTCAATTTACTAGCCATCATAATTCAATTCTTTTAAGCCACTTACATTATCTTCAATCGTCAAACATGGAAAATTTGGTAGACTTTTGAAGTAACTGAATGGCTTAATAAGATATTTGGGTAATGTTAAATAAGCTAAGAAGATATTCGATGTTAGTTCCTTACTTTCAAATGCTATCATTTCCAGCCCTTGTTGCTATGATGTATGTCTGCTTAGGTTTGGTTGTATTTGCATTCATGTTGATCTTCTTTCTAAGCTATAGATTAAAATCAGCATTTACTTGGCCAATCTACATTTTGAGAATTTTGATTCAAATGTTTTTATCAGTTCTCTATATGCCAATAATGGATATATTTTTTTCATTAATTGCTTGCACAACTGATGAGAATGGAAATAATATAAACTAAATTTTTATTGAAGTTACTTGTTGGTAAGGTGTTCATATAGTACATGGCATTGTATCCATTTTGGGTATTGTTATATTCTATTTATTTTGTATCACTTTTGCCATGATTTATTATGAACCAAGGTATTTACCTAAAGAACCACAATCGAAGAAATCTGGTAGAAGCTTAGCAATTTTTTTAACTTATGAATTAGTTATGATCATATGCTATACATTTATGATTGGAAGATAATATGATTATCTATTCATTTTGATTATGTTAGTTGGAAGCTTTATTATTTTTTGGAAAATGCATATTGAAAATCCACACAATAATATATATATAGCTAAAATGTGGTCTATGCTTGTTTCTGTAAATATGTGGAGTGTTATATTATTATGTTTTGCTAAGTTTCTTGAGGGTCAATTATTTTTTGGAACTATTTATGCATGGTTATCAGGATTACCTTTAATGATTATAGCAGTTTTGAAAACTGAAAAATTGAATTATGATTTACTTTTAACAAATCTTAACAAAGTTACAGATCCCCAAGAAGTACTTAATTTAACAGATCATCTTATCAAACTATATTATATTTAAGATGCAGATTCATAATTAATGATTGATGGATTCTTAGAAATACATAGAGCAACTTGCGCAAGGGAAGATTGTTATTTAAAATAAAAAAAATTACCAAATTAGAGATTGGCAAAACCATTCTTTAAAGATTAAAATCTTCAAGAAAGAGATGTTGATTTACTTATGGTATTAGGTTAAATTTACTTTAATTAAATCAAACGATTTCCAAATGAAATTGCATTAAGACTACGATATGCATTATTTCTACTAGATCTTATGAAATAGAGATAATAAGCATTAAATGAATTAATATAAACGGAACAATTATGTCCAAGCTTTGATAATGAATTCATCATTTTTAGATATAAGTAGATTGTTGAATATGAAATGAATGCAGCATAAAATGAGAATATGGGTAATTTAGATGTAGCAACAGAATTAGCATTTTAAAATCATATGAGATCTTTTTAAAACAAAATTGAAAGAGCTACTTTAATGCATATGGATTTTTGGTCATAATTATAAGAAGACTCTCCTGATTTAGGTAAAATGAATAATATTGGAGCTAAAATTAATTTATCTATTACTTAAGTAGAAGAACTTTGGAATAAAATGTAAATGATGACATAAAATCTACCTAAAGCTATGAGATTATATGGAAAATTTATTATTGAAGTATTATAAGATAAAGATTATGGAGAAGAATTATTAGATAAAGCTCGTAGATTATAATAGTAAAATAGTAAGAACAAGAATAAATAAATGATATCAATATTAAGTGGTGAGGATTTAAGTTAAGAACCTAATCCTACGACTTTGGTTTCAACAGCAGCTGAGAAATTTGCATAGATTATTAATTTAAATTTATCATGCTGTAATTTATTTGGATATAGTAAATCAGAAATGATAAATAGAAAGATCAATATATTTATGCCAAATCTTTATGCTAAGTTTCATGATTCTTATGTTGAACACTTTCTTTAGACAAATGATAATAAAAATATTAATAAAGAAAGATTAATCTACATTAAATTAAAATCAAATTACATAGCTCCATGTTTTTTAATGTTGAAAATCATTCAATCTTTAGATGACAATTTATAATTGGCTGCACAATTTAGATTACCTAAAATCTTCAGGCCAACATGTTACATAATTACTGATTCTGAAGAAATTGTTGATTCTATATCAGCCTCTTGTATTCCTTTGTTGAATATAGATTAAAAAGTGATTTCTCACAAAAAAGTTTCTTTAATAGATATCTTTCCTAAATTTGCAGAAAATAAATCTTAATATTTAACTAAAGTAGGAGGACTATTGTAATTTTCTGCCTATTAATCTTAATTTAGTAATTCAAATATAACAGAAGAAAAGGAACAAGAACATATAACATTTATGTGTTATATGAGTGAAGTAATGAATGATTCTATTGATTAATTAGCTGGTTATATAATAAGATTAGAATTGTAAGGATAGGATTAAAGTATTAATTAAGAATTACTTGGTAATAATAATCATTTAAAGAGTGGGAGTAGTTTATAATTTAAATTTAATCCTTAACGTGCTATGTTTAGTGGAGAATTTGTAGCAGATACTAATTCTTAAAGAGTAGATTAAACAATATTATGGGATTAAAATGATTAATCATCTATGATATCTTCAAATTAGATTGAAGTTTTAAATTCAGGGAATATAAAATCATAAGTTAAGACTGATAAATCGGAAGAATAAAATTAAAATAATAAAATTAATTATGGAGAAGGAATTAAAATATTAAGATTATTTGAAAATAGACTCTAGGATATAGATGATAAAGATGATATAATGTCAGAAGATGAGGAGATTGGAAAGAATAGTGTATTTTAAAATAATTAAGAATAATCAATAGAGAATGATTAATAAAGAAATGAATAGAATAATATTTTTAGATCAAGAAAGAATTTATTCTAAATTATTAATAGTAATTAAACTCCAAAAGTTATTACTAAATTAAGTTGGACTGCCAATATACTTGCATTAATATTGGTTGTACTTTCTTTTGTTGATTTCTTTATTATCTATGCATAATATGAGGATATTTATAATACAATCCTTCTAGTTAGAAACTAAAATTAAAGAAATGCAGAATTATAAACAATAACAACTAGTGTTTAGAATCTATTAATGTTAAATTTAGATGTTTGGCAATTGAAAACAGATAATGATAAGAAAACATATGAAACTACATGGAAAACTAAATTGAATAATTCAATTACAAATGTTGATATTTTAAATAAAGAACTTATGTTATCTAATGTTGGATTAAGTGATACAATATTAGATATGTTAAGTACAGATATTGTTATCATGAAATCAAGTGATGGTAATGAATAATTATATGATTTATCTGAGGCAATTTAATAAATTATAAGTAAATCTCTTATAATAAGAGAAAAAAATATTGTCAATATTAGTATGTAAGATATAGATGTAAGTTTTGTTTTATATAATTCTTTAAATAGTTTAATTTATTAATTAAGATTATTTTCGACATTATATGCTAATGAATTAAGAATTAAAACCTAAGATAATGGATAATCATTTCTATTAATTTTAGGGGTCTCAGCTGCAGGAATTGGACTTGGATTGATCATTATGATTATTGCAATGATATCTGTAAGCAAAAATTAAGAAGAAGTCTTAGCAATGTTTTTAGATCTTCCAGATAAAACTGTTAAATATTTGTATAATAAAAGTGAGAATTTTATTTCTAATTTATAAATGGGTGAAGATGATGAAATGATGTCAGAAATAGATGATGTAGAAAAGGAAGAATAAGAAGAATTAAATAAGACTTTGAAGACAAAGAGAAAGAAGAAAAAGTTTAAAAATACTAACAAAGATTAAAGAAATTTTATTTTTGGTATATTTTTTGTTTTGTCAATAACTTAAGGATATTTTGTGTTGAATTATATTTTAAGTAATACATTTCTAAGTAATCTTGATTAAATGATACCAGAAATCAATGCAACTGCTAGAGCTGAAAGTTTTTATAGATTTGTAGATATAGGAGAAAGAGCTTTATTTTTGGATAAAAATTAAACAATTATGAATTAAGATGCTTATACAATGGTTAAAAATAATCTTAATGCTTTATATACATTAGATTCATCTATGCATCAAGAACATTCATTAAATGTTGAAATTACTAATTAAATATATCTTGATGCTTTTAAAGAGATATTTATGTCTCAACCTTGTACTATATTAGCTACTGTAATGAATGAAGTTAATGAATAAGATTGTTAGACATTTGCAGATGGAGCCATTTATTAAGGTATGGCAGTTGGAGTTGCTCGTTACTTTGAAAATTTAAGGTACATAATGACAATATATGATTAATTTTGGAATAATTCTAAAGTTAATTTTACATAACTGGCTCGTGGATTTGCTACTTTTAAAAATATTACTAAGAATTCAGATAATACAACAAATTATGTCCTTAATTTAAATAATTTCAATCATACAAAAGAAGCAAGATAAATGCAAGATAATTATCATAGAGGAACATTTCGTTATTTAATCTAAAAAATGATTGAAGGAATTTATCAAGATATGGAAAGCAGTAGAACTTAACTTTTGGCATTTTTCATAGTATTTGAAGTTCTTTTATTTGTGATATATTTCATATTGTGGTTACCATTAGTTGTTAAAATGACTAAAGACATTTGGAGAACTAGATCAATGATCATGATGATTCCTTTGAGAGTTATCCAAAATATTAGATCTATTAAAGCATACATCAAAGAGAATATACAAATTAATGATATTGATGTTTGATTTTATATATATATCTAATATTTATATTATTTAAAAAAATGGAGGGAAAAATATAATTTATTTTGATATTTTTACAAATTATTAGTAAACATCAATGAATGTTCTTTCATAATTGCTTATAATGATTTTTAGTACATAAAACTAAAATTATATATAGTTTGAAAATTAATCTAGGTAATTACTGTTAAGACATTAACTAAGTTTTTAATTTAAATAATTATTGAAATAGTTCTTAAACTTATTTTATTATATTTCTTTTTAAAAAAAAATATAATTTTGATCATTCAAGCAAATTCTTTTGATATTTGCATAGTCAAATATGATTCATAAAGTAAAAAGGATTCAATATTGTTAATTATTATGTTTTGACAAAAAAATTAAACCTATGAAGATATAATAAGAGTTTACTCTTATTAGATCACTTGTTAAATAAAATAACCTTCCTATCATTTTTTTAATGATCTTTAAACAGCTAAAATTATGTATTGGTTGTTTTGGAACAATTTTATAATTTGAAATTTATAATGTAAATTATTTACAGACAATTTTGAGAACTTAGCATTACCACATTTTTTGTCCACAAAACTCAAGATTATTGTATCTAATTTGAATGGTAGTTTTTAAAATAATTTAATAATTCATTATGATTATGTAGGATGTGTTTTATTATTTTTATATTTAATTATATGGAGTCATTTTAAATTTTAATTAGAAATTCTCATAGAATGTTTTTTCACTTAATATATTTTTTTAAATATGATTAATACTGAAATGATATTTGAATATTTGACTATATAAGTCAATAATAGACCTAATTTATGGCAATTTATATTGTGTTTTAAGTATTTTTTAGTATATTTAATAGTATTATACCTTATTTTGAATTAGATATTGGATGACTATAAAATTAAGGATTTAAATATTTTTATTAGATATAAATAAGGGATATCTTGGTTATTTGGTGCAAGAGGAGAAATAATGAAATTTTATTTATTAAATTAACAATGGAACTAAAATCAAATTTTGGTACTACAAAAGGTTCTTTAGATTCTGAGAGATCCATAATTGATAAAATGTAGACTGAACTAAAAGGGGTGTTCTTTAGAGTGATCTAGTTGATGTTAAAAGATGAGGAATAATCAATTCCTTTCACTTGTATTGGAATATTGTTGCAATACATGCAGATCACTTATATTGTATTTAATAGGTAGATTTGGAAAGTTTGGCAGAATGAGATTCTATCTAAGCAGCTAAATAAAATCTTTGGGTAAGGAATTATCTTAAATTAGATATGTATTGTTGACGCCATATTTTGAAATGATAAGTTTTTCAGGATTTGCAGCTATGATGTATGTATGTTTGGGCCTCGTTTTATTTTCATTAATGCTGATCTTCTTGTTAAGCTATAGTATCAATAAATCAAAGAGTTCATTTACTTGGCCAATCATGCTTCTAAGGTTTTTGATAAGCATATTTCTGCAAGCCTTGTATATGCCTATCATTGATTTACTTTTATCTATGTTGGCATGTTAAACAGATCAAAATGGTGTACTCAAACATCAACTTTTCGATGTTCAATGTTGGTCTAATATTCACATAGTACATGCAATTGTAGCAATATTTGGAACAATATTATTTTTTATACTCTGCATAATATTTTCCTTATTATACTATGAATCAAGGTATCAACCACATGAAGCTTCATCTAAATTGACAGGAAGAGCTAATGCAGTTTTTTTGACTTATGAATTAATAATGGTAATTTGTTACACATTTATGAATGGTAAGAATTATGATTATTTGATGATATTAATTATGATGGTTGGAAGTTTCACTATATTTTGGAAAATTCATGTTGAAGCACCTTTTAATAATATGTATGTTTAAAAAGCTTGGTCAATGTTAGTGGCTATGAATATGTGGGGTGCTACTTTATTGTGTTTTGCTAAATTCTTAGAAGGAGTCCTCTTTTTTGGTACTGTATATGCTTGGTTAGCAGGTTTACCATTAATGCTAATAGCTATTATTAGAAGTGAAAAAATGCATTATGATCTACTTTTACTTAATCTAAACAAAGTTTAAGATCCAGATTAAGTTCTACATTTGACAAATCATCTATTGAAATTATTTTACAAAAGTCAATAAAATCAAAATTGTTCATTGTTATTAGATGGATTTTTAGAAATACACAAAGCAACATGTACAAGAGAAGATTGTTATTTAAAATAAAAGAAATTAAACAATTCAAGATAATAAAAACCAATATTTAAAGAAGGAACTGTGACTGAAAGAGATGTGGATCTATTAATGGTTATGGGTTAAATCTATTTTAATCAAATAAAGAAATTTCCTAATGAAATAAGTCTCCGTATAAGATATTCATTTTTCTTACTTGACAACTTGAGATAAAGGTAATAAGCATTAAATGAATTAATATAAGCAGAAACATTATGCCCTAGTTTAGATAATGAATTTATTATCTTCAGATATAAAAAAGTAATTGAAGATGAAATGAATGCAGCATAAAATGAGAATATGGGTAATTTAGATGTAGCAACAGAATTAGCATTTTAAAATCATATGAGATCTTTTTAAAATAAAATTGAAAGAGCTACTTTAATGCATATGGATTTTTGGTCATAATTATAAGAAGACTCTCCTGATTTAGGTAAAATGAATGATATTGGAGCTAAAATCAATTTATCAATTACTTAAGTAGAAGAACTTTGGAATAAAATGTAAAAGATGACATAAAATTTACCTAAAGCTATGAGATTATATGGAAAATTTATTATTGAAGTATTATAAGATAAAGATTATGGAGAAGAATTATTAGATAAATCTAGACATCTATAGACTTAAAATAATAAAATGAAGAATAAATAGACAATATCTTTAATAAGTAGTGAGGATATTGGATATGAGTCATAGCCTACTCTATTAGTATCTACAGCTCAAGAAAAGTTTGCATAGATTACAAATTTGAATTTGGCATGTTGCAATTTATTTGGTTATAATAAATCAGAAATGATAAATCGTAAGATTAATATATTTATGCCAAATTTGTATTCAAAATTTCATGATGCTCATGTTGAGAATTTTTTATCATCAAATGATAATAGGAATATTAATAAAGAGAGATTGGTGTATATCAAAATGAAATCAAATTATATCATGCCTTGTTATATATACTTAAAGGTTATTTAGTCAATAGATGATAATGTTTAATTAGCAGCTTAATTTAGAGTTCCAAAATCTTTCAAACCTTCATGTTATTTAATATTGGATAGTGAGGAAGTCATAGATTCAATTTCATCATCTTGTATTCCTTTATTAAATATTGATTCAAAATTAATATCACATAAAAAGACTCCAATTACAGAGATATTACCAAATTATATGCAATAGAAATAATTATTTTTATCTAAAGTTGGAGGTCCAATTGTTTTCAATCCTGCTACTCAATCAGGTGTTAGTAATAGTCAATTAGCGTCACAAGAATTAGATGATTAAGACAAGAAAGATGATAATATTCAATTTTAATGTTATACTTATGAAGTAATGAATGAAAATCAAGATTAAGTTGTTGGATATATTGTTAAATTAGAATAATAAGGAACAGAAGCTAGTATGAATTTAGAAGTTTAAAATTTATAATAGAAAGTTCTAAGTAATAGTATGTAATTTAAGTACAATCCTTCTAAAGCTCTATACTTAGGAGAATATGTTGCTGATACAAATTCATAAAGAGTTGATTAAACCATATTATGGGATTAAAATGATTAATCCTCTATGATTTCTTCAGTTTAAGGTGGAGTTGAAATTCTTAAATCTTAAGTTAAAACAGAGAAATCAGATGAGCAAAATGTATTATAACAAATTAGAATTAATTATGCTGAAGGGATTAAGACTTTGAGATTATTTGAGAATCGTGTACAAGATATAGATGATAGAGAAGATATGATGTCAGAAGAAGATGAATAATAAGGAAAAAGTGTTTTCTAAAGATAGTAAGATGTAGACAATGATTAAGAAGGATAACAATAAGATTTTAATAATGTATTTAGATCAAGAAAGAATTTATCACTTGTAGTGAACAGTTAAGTTACACCTCCTGTTGTAACTAAATTAAGTTGGACTGCCAATATTTTAATACTTGTATTGGTAGCATTGAGTTTTGCAGATTTCTTTGTTTGTTAAGCATAATATGATGAAATATTTAATACAATATTATTAGTAGAAGATACTAATTTAAGAACTGCTGAATTACATACTATATTATCAACAGTTTAAAATTTGTAAATGTTGAATTTAAATATTTGGAGACTGAATACAACTGAAAATATTACTGCATTTGAATAAGATGAAAAATAAAAACTTAATAATTCTATATAGAAGGTTTCTTTATTAAATAAAAACTTAATGTTATCTGATATTTTTATAAGTGATGAATTAAATGAATTATAAAGTGAAGATGTTGTTAAAATGAAATTTGGTGATGAGTATTAAAGATATGATATAATGGAAGCTACTTAATAAATAGTAAGTAAAGCTTTAAATGTACGTGATAAGGCATTAAAAAATATTGTTTTTGAAGATGATGATGTTGGATTTATTATTTACAATCTTCTTAATGATCTAGTATTCTAATTAAGAAATTCTAGTAATTTATATGCAGTTGGTTTAACTAATAAAACAACAGAGAAGAAAGAAACATTTTTAATTATATTAGGTATATCAGCAGGAGCTTTAGGTTTTGGATTAATGTTATTGACAATCATAACTTTGTCTGTCAATAAAACACAAGAAGAAATATTATCTATGTTTTTAGACATACCAGATAAGACAGTTAAATATTTGTATAACAAAAGTGAGAATTTTATTTCTAATTTACAAATTGGAGAGGAAGAAGAAGTATTATCAGAATTAGAAGAACTTGAAAAAGAAGAATAAGAGGAACTTAATAGAACATTAAAAAGTAAAAGAAAAAAGAAAAAGTTTAAAAATACTAATAAAGATTAACGTAATTATATTTTTGCATTCTTTTTAATTATCTTAATTTTGTAAGCTTATTTTATATTTAACTATTTTATGTCAGACACTCTTTTAAGTAATTTGGCATAACTTGTACCTGAAATTAATGCAACTTGTAGAGCAGAAGGATTTTATCGATTTGTTGATAATGCTGAAAGATCACTTTATATTAATAGGAATATGACAATTTTGAATGAAGATTCTTACACAATTGTTAAATCAAATATTGATAAATTATATGCATTAGATTCATCAATTCATTAAGAACATTCATTAAATGTAGATATTACAAATTCTATATATTCTGATGCATTTAAGTAAATGTTTATGCTTCAACCTTGTACTATTTTATCTTAAGATATGAATGAAATGACAGAAACTGAATGTTAAACATTTGCTGATGGTGCTATGTATTAAGGAATGGCAGTAGGAGTTGCACGTTATTTTGAGAATATTAGATACATAATGACAATATATGATTAATTTTGGGATAATCCTAAAGCAAATTTTACAGCTATTGCTAGAGGTTTTACAACTTTTAAAAATATCACATAAGATAGTGATAATGTTAGAAATTATATACTTAATCTAAACAATTTTAATTAATCCAAAGAATCAAGAGTTATTTAAGAAACTTACAACAGAGGTATTTATTTATATTTATGATTACTAATTTTAGGTACATTTAGGTATTTAATGTAGTAAATGTAGGCAGGTATCAATAACGATATTGAAAGTGCAAAAACATAAAGATTAGCATTATTTATTGTATTTGAAGTCTTGCTTTTTATAATTTACTTCATTTTATGGTTACCATTAGTATTAAAGATGACAAGAGATATATGGAGAACAAGGTCAATGATAATGATGATCCCATTAAGAGTTATATAAAGAATTAGATCAATTAAGCAATTTATAAAAGAATTCCTACATGCAAAAGATCTTGATTCTTGATATAATTATCTATATATATGCTGATTTTATAAATTAACAGAAAAAAAAATGGATCAAAAATAAAAGATGTAACATCTTATGAACAATTTCATGAAGAAGGAATAAACAAAGCAAAGTTAGGTGACAATTAAGTTATATGTGAATAATGAGTTTTCTTAATAAATTTAATATCCCACTTGTAATTAGACTGCCAATCAATTAGTTGGTTACTTGAGAAACTTATTAAATCAGACTTAGATTGTAGGATTTTAGAGCTTAGAAAGTAATATTCATTTAGATTACTATTTAACAACAAATAAAGATTTAGGATTATTGAGTAATCAAACTATATCTTTAAAACCTTTGTATGGAATATATTAGAATACAATCAACTTGGATTCATTTTATTTTTTATAATGTATAGGTATAGGTGGATTCAGCAGAGTATATTTAGTTAGATATAAGTTTAACGGCTAATTTATGGCTTTGAAGATGATTTCAAAATAATTTATTGAGTAAAATGATAAATTTTAGATTGTACAGAATGAAAGAGATATTATGGTACATTTAGTAAATAATAATAATTCACATCCAAATCTTTGTAAATTGTTATGTTCTTTTGAAACTAAAAATTGGGTTTGTTTTGCAATGGAATATTGTCCTGGTGGTGAATTATTCTAATAATTAAAGAGAGTAAAGAAAATGGATGAATAATAAGCAAAATTTTATTTTAGTTAAGTATGTATAGCAATACATCATTTACATGAAAATAAGGTGATTTATAGAGATATTAAACCTGAGAATATTCTTATAGATGCAGAAGGTCATATAAAATTAGCTGATTTTGGATTAGCAAAACCTAATGTTGAAGATGATAAATTGGCATACTCTTTTTGTGGATCTCCTGAATATATGGCTCCAGAGATGTTATTAAAATTAGGACATAATTATTAGATTGATCATTATTGTTTAGGAGCACTTCTATATGAATTATTAACAGGATTACCACCATATTATTCTAGTAATCCAGAATAAATATATTAAAATATTTTATAACATGATCTACCTTTACCAAATAAAAATTTAAGTGTTGAGGCTAAAGATTTAATATCTAAATTATTGTAAAAAGATATGTAAAATAGATTAGGAAGAAATTATGGAATCTATGAAATATTAAAGCATCCATGGTTATAAGAATTCAATTTATATAAATTAATTAATAGATCATATGATCCTCCATTTAAACCAGATCTATTTAAAATCAATTTTGATTAAAAGGAAATAATAAGTGGAGAAAATTAGTTTTAAAAAGAATTATAAAAGTCAATTAATTCAGAGACAGAAAGTATTTTTAATCCATTCTTCCATAATTTCTATTATTCATCATTTTCTTGTAAATAACCTTAGAGATCATCTTCAATTACATAAATAAATATCTCGAATACTGATGATAAATTCACTAATATATTATTGAGTACAACTAAATCAAAACATGCATCCTAAGCTCATTCATCATCTAGTCAATCTTAATTAAAGAAGAAAAAGATAACATAAAATGATTTTGAAAATAAAGAAAATTTAGTTAAGAATAATACTTAAATGATTATGAAAGTTGGAACTAAACATAAAAAAAATAATTAAAGTATGCCTGATAATGTATTGAATGTTCAATAAAATGAATTGAGATCATATTCATCTTAAAAAGTAAATGAATAATTACAAAAACTTGCAAATAATTATTAAACTAATTAATTGAAATCACCTTCAATTGAAATTGATGAATAAAAGTAATAAAAATTATTATTTGGTGAAAATAAATAGTTAAGTAAAAATTAGTCTAATTAATGTTCTCTTATCAGATATTTTAAATAATGATTTATTCACAACATATCAATAATTTCAATCTTATAAAAACTTTGAAAACTTAACATTTAATAATTATTTTCTCTCTCTTTCCTCTTTTCTATATAAAGTTTCATCTAATTAAGCATGTTCAGTTCTATCCTCTTTTTCTGCATCAAATTCTATTTATTTATCTCCTTATTTAATTGTTACTTATAATTTCACTTAAAATAATCTCTTATAAATTTCTGCCATTACTATTTCTATTTCATTTTTCACTTATTTTATAGCTCTACCTTCTTCTCCAATAACAATCCTTGCTTATGATGATGTTTAAACATTAATTTAAATTTCAATCTTAGCAGATTCTTTACTTGTTACTCTAAATTCTTTTACATAAATACCAATAATGAATGGGATTTCATTATAAAATCTTTTAAATATAGCTTATCTAACTATTTATTCTAATTAATCCATAGGTGTAAATAGATGTTTCTAATTTTCATTATATTTCCATCTACATTAAAAACTTTGAGAATATAAATATTATTTCAATTCTTCCATTCCATAACCTGTTATAGAAGATATATAAAATGTCTAATCATATTTTCCTAAATCTTCCATTTCTGTTTATAACCATTTTAATTTCTTCTTATTAAAACATAAATCCATTTTATTAAAAACAAGAATTTTTGGTATAGGTTTATCTTCTGATACTCTAAAATCATCTTCATTTCTAAAATAACTTCTTAATTATTCTTAATCTACTTTAATTTTATTTAATCTTGACATGACATTCTTCATACTAATATCTAATGTTTTAATAGCATCAATTAAAATAATCACCATATTAGTGTCTTCAATGACATCCCAAGCTTTAGTTACAAAATGCTTTGAAAATTTATATCTCTTAGTAACTCCTGGAGTATCTACAAGTTCTATTTAAACACCACTTTTAATATCTGTATGTACTCCTCTAATTTCTGAGACTGTTGTATTACTCTTGTTTGATACTGCACTTATAGGTTCACCTATCATTTAATTCATAAATGTAGATTTGCCTGAATTAGGAGGTCCAATAATCGAAACAGATAAAAATTTCTATTCTTCAATAGAAACAGATGGTTTTTATGCTAATGGTTTCAATAATATTTTATTTGAAACTTTTGTTCCCAATTCAGTAGTTTTAATTGCTTATTCATTTATAGTATATAGAGTAGCTGGTGTTTCATAATCTTCTAATAGAAATCTCTCTGGTTTTGTAGGGGATAAAATATCAATTTTTTTAGATAATGGATTAGATGGATGTTGATAAGGTCTTAGTGTTTTTACATCTAATTTTTTAGGAGGTGCATACTTTTTCAATTTTTGCAAATTAGACATACAATAACCACAAATTTTGATCATTATATAATATTTGAAAAAACAAAAAATAGTAAAAATTATATTAAAAAAATTCAATGTATTTTATTTCTTTTGAGGACTTTCATAATTTTTGGTTTATCAACACTTCTCTCTGTTTTTAATTTCATTTAATACAAATCTAAGACTTTATCTTTTTTAGGTTAACTCTTTGTGCTTGTATTGAGGGTACTTCGATAGGAATTTTATGTTAAGATGTTAGAATCTTCATTTTTTGGAATAAGTAATTTTCTATTTTAGAGCTGTTAATATGTTAACTTAATTTAATTCATTTTCTGATTAGTTTTGAATGAACTTGATAAACTTGAGCCTTATGGTTTAGGTTTACTTAAAAGTTTATGAATTTGCTAAAACAGATAACAATATTGAGTAGTACCTACTGCAGTTAATAGCTAATAGAAAAAGGTTTTAAGACATTATTCAAATTAGCAGTATTGGATAGTTTCATTTTTAAATCTCCAGCAGATTTAATTATTTTCAATTGCTTCTTAACTATGAAAGTTCACAAACTGAATTATATACCATCTTAAGATTTGAATCCATAAAACTATTTACTAAGAGACTTGAAATAGTCATCATCGTTGTCTTTAAAGAGTTTAGATTCTACAACAAGTTGAGAGTCATCATTCTCAACCATGAAACTAAGAAACTATTCATCATTTCTCATTGTTTTATTTATTTAATAAATGGACTTGTAAGTATAGAAACTATAGTAAGAAATCATTGAGTAATATAACTAAGAGTATTTTATAGTTAAAAAGAATATGAATAGATGCTTGAAGATTAAATAAAGGAACATGAAGAAACTATAGATAAATAAAAGTTAGATATAAATAAAAAAGAGACTGAGATCAAGAATCTAAAAAAATAATTATAAGAAGCAATTAAAAAAGCAGATGTTATAGTATATAAATTAAATAATCATTAAAGAATAATTCTGATGATATTAGTGGAGCAAAGATTATATAATTGGAAGTAGAAATACATGATCTCAATTAACAATTGCAAGAATCCTCTTAAAAAATTAAAGCACTTACTCAATAACTAAGGTAATTGTTTCCAATCAAATTAGTGCTAAAATTGAAGAAAATGATATGGAAATTGAAATTCTAAAAGATGATCATCTAAAATAATTGAATGATAAACAAACTGAAATTGCAGCATTATAGTAGATTATAGATGAATTGAAAAAGATGTAAAACAATGAAAATTCAAAATAATCTTAAGACATTGTTCCAATTAAATAAAAGTAAGTAATTCTATGAAATTAGAGATTAAGAGGAATTATTATAACAAATTGAATATTTAACAAATTAAATTGAATAATAAGGAAAGTAGTTAGAAATTAAAGATAAATAAATTGAATAGTTATAATTAAATCAAGGGAAATAAGGAAGTATAGATGAAGTTGGTAAAAGAACATAAGAAGAGGATTAAAATTTGGAAGAGAAGATTGCCTAATTAGAAGAGACAATATTGTAATATTAAGAAGAAAATTCTTAGTTAATTATAAAAGAAGAAGAAAATCAAAAAGAAAAGCAATTATTGAAATAATAGTTGGAATCATTGGAAAAATAAATATAAGAAATACAGCAATAGGAACAAGATGCTAGTGTAGCATAATAATTAGAAGATCTTAAATTGGAATATGAAGAATTAGTTGAGGAATATACATCTACTAATGAAAAATTATAATAATCTGAATCGGAATGCTAATAATTAACTGATAAATGTTAAGAGTATTTATCAGTTAAAGAGTAATTGTAGGATTAAATAACTTAATTTGAAAATACATTATAACATTATAATGAAGTATTAGAAGAAAATAATGAATTGAAATAATTGATGAATAAAGCATAAGAATAAATTAATAATCTATAAAGTAATAATGAATATCAAACTCTTTATCTTTAATTGAGAGATGAATATGAAGAATTTAAGGAGTAACTTCAAATCAATATCAAAGATAAAGATTAATAGTTATATTAGGCAATTTAATTTTGTTAAGAATTAGAACCTTTTAAAGAATAAGCACATATGCTAGAAGAAAATAACAAACTTTTATCTAATTAATTATAAACTTAATTAGAAAATAATTAAATTTATTAATAGAAAATTGAATAATTAGAAAATTAATTAAATACTCTCTAAAATTAAAATTAAGATATTAATGATCTATTATAAAAGTTGGATCAATTAAAATAAGACAATGAAAATCTAAAAACATAAAATTATGATTATGCTGAAACAATCAAGAATTATGAAATCTAAATGGATGCACTTAAATAAATTGAATGTGATTCACCCAAGAAAATTTCAAAATTATAATAAGAAAATTCAGAAACAACTGCAGAATATATTAAATTAAAAGAAAATACTTAAAGAGAGATACATTTATTAAAATAAGAAAGAAGTAATTTATAAAATGAAATTAATGAAATTAAATCATTATTAGACACTTATATTAATAATGGAGAATCATTTGAATCTCAAAAATAATATATTATTGATTATTGGAATAAACTCTAATCTATTCAAGATCAATAAAACAATCTTGTTGAAAAGTTTCAATTAGAAATACAAGAATTAAATGAAAATATTGGTTAAATTTAATCTTAGTAAAATTTAAATACAGATCATTATCATTAATTAAATTAAGAATTTTAAATTAATAATAATGAGAAAAATGAGAATTTAAATTAATCATTAGAATAATTAGAAACTAATAATGAAATAAACTAAAATAATTTTCATTTTGATGTTAAAAAAATACAACAAATAGATTATATAGATAATTCTACTTAAACAGAAGAAATAATAGAAAAGAAGATTGAAAAATAAGACTAAATTTAGTAACATCAATCATAGACAATACAATAAAAAGTATTTTAATCATAATTAATTTAAACTGATGATCTAATACTATCTCCTCAAGAAATGAATGTTAGACAATTTAATAATTAAATATGCTAGACTGATGAATAAGAAATAAAATAAATTGAAAACATTGATTAATATGATCATAAGTAAAATGATTAAATTAATGATCTTAATATTCAAATTATTTAAAAATAATCAGAAAATGATTAAATTATTATACAATAATTGATATAACCATTTGAAAATTTAGAAGAATAATCTAATTAGTTCTAAGATTTAAAATAAATGGATTAATTAAAGTATTTTTTTATTATCATAAAATTTTAGAAAAAAAGTTGAAGATATGGATAATTTAAGAAAATCATTAGAGAAAGAAATTTATAATCTAAAAGATAAGATTAAGAAATTAGAAGACAAATTATAAAATAGTTAAAAACCAANAAATTAATTAAATACTCTAAAAAATTAAAATTAAGATATTAATGATCTATTATAAAAGTTGGATCAATTAAAATAAGACAATGAAAATTTAAAGACATAAAATTATGATAATGCTGAAACAATCAAGAATTATGAAATCTAAATGGATGCACTTAAATAAATTGAGTGTGATTCACCCAAGAAAATTTCAAAATTATAATAAGAAAATTCAGAAACAACTGCAGAATATATTAAATTAAAAGAAAATACTTAAAGAGAGATACATTTATTAAAATAAGAAAGAAGTAATTTATAAAATGAAATTAATGAAATTAAATCATTATTAGACACTTATATTAATAATGGAGAATCATTTGAATCTCAAAAATAATATATTATTGATTATTGGAATAAACTCTAATCTATTCAAGATCAATAAAACAATCTTGTTGAAAAGTTTCAATTAGAAATACAAGAATTAAATGAAAATATTGGTTAAATTTAATCTTAGTAAAATTTAAATACAGATCATTATCATTAATTAAATTAAGAATTTTAAATTAATAATAATGAGAAAAATGAGAATTTAAATTAATCATTAGAATAATTAGAAACTAATAATGAAATAAACTAAAATAATTTTCATTTTGATGTTAAAAAAATACAACAAATAGATTATATAGATAATTCTACTTAAACAGAAGAAATAATAGAAAAGAAGATTGAAAAATAAGACTAAATTTAGTAACATCAATCATAGACAATACAATAAAAAGTATTTTAATCATAATTAATTTAAACTGATGATCTAATACTATCTCCTCAAGAAATGAATGTTAGACAATTTAATAATTAAATATGCTAGACTGATGAATAAGAAATAAAATAAATTGAAAACATTGATTAATATGATCATAAGTAAAATGATTAAATTAATGATCTTAATATTCAAATTATTTAAAAATAATCAGAAAATGATTAAATTATTATACAATAATTGATATAACCATTTGAAAATTTAGAAGAATAATCTAATTAGTTCTAAGATTTAAAATAAATGGATTAATTAAAGTATTTTTTTATTATCATAAAATTTTAGAAAAAAAGTTGAAGATATGGATAATTTAAGAAAATCATTAGAGAAAGAAATTTATAATCTAAAAGATAAGATTAAGAAATTAGAAGACAAATTATAAAATAGTTAAAAACCAACAACACCTAGAAGATAATCAGATGCAAAAGATGATAGAAAAAAATTGTAGGATAATGAATTAATCTAAAGATTATAAAAATAAATAAAAGAACTTTAAGAAGAAATTCAATCTCTTAATGTTCATTAATTAAATGAATAAATTGAATAATAATCTAATGAAATAGAATAATTATAATAAGATATTTAATAATATAAAGAATAATTAATTAAATAAAGATAATATACTATCAAATTGAAGAATTAATTAGATACAATTTATAATTTAGGTCCATAAGCATTATCAATGTTACAAAGTGAACCAAAAAGAGAATTTTAATCATCTATCTAAACAATTTAATAAGAAAAATATTAAATTTCATCTTTTTTGTATATCAAATCATAAAAGTCTTATTAATGTTAATTTATTGAAATAAATAGGAAATAATTAAAATTATTTTAATCAGTAAAAGGAAGGATTGAAAAAGCTGTTTTTGATACATATACTTTTGATGAAATATTCTTTGATACTTAAAAAATTCATTAATATTTAGATTAATCAAAATTAAAGTTATAAAATGAATTAACCAAAATATATCTTATTTTAGGTTAATCTAAAACTCATAAAAAATTAATTATGATTATGTTAATAGAATTACTTTACAATTTAATTTAAAAATAATAATTGAACTAAAAGATAATATTTTATTATTAAGAAAGAATAGGTAAATAATGGATAGAAATTGAGAAATTTAATACACAAACATCTTCTATTTAAGATTTAGATTATACACTTTAAGCTATTAAAGTGCATTTATTGACTAAGTAGAAATCTCTTGGAGAGAAAATTCGAAAACTATAAATTACATATTAATCTTATATTGATAATCAATTATAAAATACAAGTACCTTTATAATAGCAACATGTCCATCATTACCTTAAGGAGATTTCAAAAATGTTATATAAAAGATATTGAATTGCTCAATTAATACTAATATGTAATTTAACATATTTTTAAATATATCACCTGCTTTATAATATTATTAAAAATCTACTGAAATAATATCAATGGCTAAAACAATCAAATTAGCAAAGGGACAATTAGATATTGCTTTATTGTCAGCATGCAAATCTCTTAGTGAATATAATTTAATTGATGAAGAATCTCAGAAATAATTGAGGATCATAAATAATAAGTTAATACTGAAATAATAAGAAATTGATTAAGTTAAAAAAACTCTTGATTTGTAAATAAAATAATAATAAGAGCTATAAATTAAATTTGATAACTAATTAGTATATTAAAATACAATTTTTGTTTTAATAAATAACATAATACTAGAAATAAAATAAAAGATAAATATGAAAATGAATTAAAAGAAAAATAAGAAATCTTAGAATATAACATTCTTAGATAAATTGGCATTCTAATTAGATTAAATTATTAGAAAATAACAAATAAGTTAATCGAATGTTGAAAATGTAGATAAATTCTTTAAAAGTAAAGCTAGTGAAATTGTAAATCCGTTTTTATGAAAATCAAATTATAAATTTAATTGAATATTTTATTTGATAATTTTTGAATAGAATCTTATTCTTAATTAGATAAATTTCTTTGTCAAAATTACGTTTCTGATATTTCTGTTTATAAAATTGCAATACAGATAGTTTATAATTAAGAAAAAGAAATAGATTATTACAGTTTATGGTATTTTACTTTAAAGTTTATTAATTTGTTATAATACTCTATTATATTATTCTTTTAATAAAAATAATTATGATTGTATATACATAATTTAATGAATAATAATTAGGGTAATATAGATTTTGATGAATCTAAAATGATTGAGAGATATTTAAAACATTTTATGAATGACTTAAATATTTATAAATAAATTAATAAAAAGAAAGTGTAATTATAATTACATCCTTATAATTATGCCAAGATCTTGATAAAGCATTAAATAAGTAATATGAAATAAAAGTAGTAAGTTCAAATAGGATTCTCAAAGTATCCTAAACAAGTAAATTCTCCAATTAAAAAGATAAATATGGAATATACAATTATATAATTAAAGAATAAATTCCTTATAACAAAAATATTTATATTATATTATATTAAAATGAATAGATGAGAATCCATTAAATTCAATAAATAATAGAGTTCTTATTTTCTTTTTTTTTAAAATAATAATGAAGAATTAATTGATAGGTTGGTTAAATAATGTAAATAATTAAATCAATTCCCTATCATATAACCTGCTACTAATGCTATTAAAATAGCTAATAATAGTTAAGAAAAACTCAGATTACTTTTATCTAATTATTAGTGATATTTGAATTACCCTTTTTTAATAATGCTTATTAAGTTTCAAGTTCTATTTTCTTTTTAAAATCTAGATATTCTTATTACTATATTATTAGATAATATAAATATTTACAAGCTTTTCATATTAATCTTAAAATTGTTTAATTTAGTCATCCTTATCTGTTTTTGGTTCAATAACAGACTTGAACATTTTAGATTCTTATTATTATGAAGTACTTGAATTTGATTCAAGAATTTTAGAATCAGGAACTGAATTATGATATTAAACATCTTGTTAAACATTCTATTATTTTATTCTGCTTTTAATTTATTAAGATTAAATTGTTGATTAATCTCTGTTTTTCCAAAATTAAGTCAGATCTAAATGATTATATATATTTAATATCAATTACCTTAATCTTGAAAATCAATTTAACAAGCATTAACTTAAAATTTAGGATCAAATTTAGCATCACTCTTTATAGGTTGACTTGTTGATATTTCAATTATTTAAGTTTAATTAGTGTTGATAATACCCACACTTGGTTTTACTTGAAACAATGTAGGTGTTGTTGTTTTTATCTATATTATTTGAAAATTAATAATACTTTGAATGCAACATCTTGTTATGTTAAATTTTTAAGGGATAATTGTGCATGTGCTAATTTGTTTTCTTCAGCTTCAAATTCTAAATATTATTTAGGTTCAATTTCAATAAGACCTTGCATAGAGTAATCAAATTAAAATTTAAATATTCGATATTAAATTATATGGTTGTTCATAATTATTTTCTCAAAAAAGATGGAAGGATAAAGAAATTCCATCTATTTTACTTTATATATTAGATAAATAAACAAGTGAATATTTTTTCAATAAATATATTAATATAAATGGCCGAATAGTCAAGTATTATTTTGCATTTGCACTCATTGAAGGATAGCATTAAAAGTGCATTTAAAGTTTTTGAAGATATTGATATCTAGTGTTAAGTAGAAGAGATTAAGTAAAATCATATAAAGTTGGTAAGTAAACAATTTATCATTAGGTTGAAGAGAATAAACAATAATAAGAACCAAAATACATCACATTAACTGATTAAAAAAGAGTACTCAATAATTTTGATAATATAATTTGTTAATTATAATTAGTAACACCATTCTATAGTGATCAAAAATAGTACTATTTACAATAATTAGTTTAACTTTTGAGTCGAGTGATAAGAACAAGAGACAAACATAATTGAAAAATCAATAGATGTGGGATTAAATAAAATAAGAATAAAAAGAACGATTTGCTAAATATTAAGATGAAACAATTCTAGATAAAATATTCTAATTGGATACTAAATTAAAGGAAGATTATGAATATAGTCTTCAATATATGAGTGGTAATTAAAAAAAAACAATACAAATTAAATTTCATGATATTCAAAAATTAAATCCACCTAATTATTTGAATGATGGCATTATTAATTTTTATCTTAAGTTTATAGAATTTGAATTGATAGAATAATCATTAAGATCTAAAACCTATATCTTTAATACATATTTTGTATAAAAACTATGTTTTTTTGAGAAATTATAGATGATAGGTTAAAATGATCATCTAAAACTTAATGAATTATTTAAGTTATCTTATGAATAGATAAAAAAATGGATAAAAGAAGATTTAACAGAAAAAGAATATTTATTATTTCCAATTAATTTACCAGAACATTGGTCATTATTGATAGTTCATAAAAAAACAAAATCATTTGCTGACTCTGTAATAATTTACTTAGATAGTTTTGGAATTATGGATTAAAAACTAATTACAATAATAAAAATGTAATATATATATATTTAATAACATTTTAAGGTATCTTCATAAAATTAATTGTGATGTGAATTCTATTGAAATTAATTATAATGATTCTCCTATTAAATTGATTCCAGCATATTAATTATTAGTACCTCGTTAAGTTAATTATGTTGATTGTGGAGCATTTCTTTTAGAATATGCAGAATCATTTTTATCAAATCCAAATTATTTATTATAAGATGTTGAATCATAAGATGGCATATACAAATTAAAATTATTTCCAAGATCATTAATTTGTAATAAAAGATTGTTGATGAAATAATTATTAATTGATTTACTTGAATTTGATAAGGATATAGCCATATCTCAATATTAATAAAAAAGATAAGCTATAATTGATTAATGCAGTAATATTTTGATTTTATATTTTAGAAAATGATGAAGATGAATATGATCAAATTGATTAAGTAATTTTTAAGGAATTTATTAATTAAAAAAACCAAATGAATATTGAACAAAGACAATTATTGTTAGATTTCTATATGAATCCATAATAAAATTATTATTAATAATGAAATATAAAATTTCTATTAATTTTCATTTATCTATATAAATAACAAATAGATTTATTATTATCTAATTTTTTAAGAGTATTAATAAATTTTATAAATATATTTATTAAATCATCATAAATACAATTGAAAATTAAATTTATATGATCTAAATATATATATTAATCTATAATTCATTAAGATATTAAAATAAATTAATAATATACTTAAAGATTTTATTAATATATACTAATATGAATAATATATTCAAATAAAATATTTCTAAAATTAATTATAAGTTATTTAGTAAGGATACTCTTAAAATTATTAAAAGAACAATAAAATGTGTTTTCCCTTAATATCAAAAACTTTAAAGTCATCTTAAGTAATTATTCCATCTTAATCCAAATCTATAAAATTGAATATTATATCTATATTCTTCATATCCTATCCCAATTAATTAGTTGATTCTTTTTTATATCTAATTAATTCTAAATATTTCTATATCAATATTTTTATGATTTTCTTAGTTTCATAACTAAATGCTCCAATGTAATTATTTAAATTTTACTTATTTTCTGGGAACAAACATTTAAAATCAGTGAGACTAATTAAATATCTTATTTCTTACTTCCATTAAGTTTAAGAATGATGACTTGAATAATTATGGATTAGTTATCTAATTATAAAATCATTAACGTCTATTCCTAACTATAAAAATACAAGTTTTAAATCTTATAATCCTATTGAACCATCAACATCAAGATCAAAAAATTAAAATACTTAAGAAATTGAATAATCACCTCTACTTGAAAGCTTAATATAAATATATATATATATACTTCTAATTTTATTTAATCTAATTCTTCATGTAGTTTTCCTATTGTTAATAAATGCAATTAAAATTCCAAAATGGATTCTTCCATTATACTAGATGATTTTTTTAAAGATTTAGTGGATGATTTCATAGTTGAAAAATGAACATTTCTATTTGAATTAATGTTTTCTTAATCTGTTTTTTATCTAGATTCACTTCTATTAATTGATTTTGAACTTTATTATTTATTAATCTATTTTTATAAATTTCCTATTGAAGCTTAATTACTTTTTGGAGGTTTTATTAAACATTTAAAGAATTCTTCCCAATCAAATCTATTTACATCTGAATCTTAATCTTTATCTAATCTTCTCATTGCACAAATTATATCTTCAAAACTTATATCTAAATCAAGGTTTTTTAATAACTATAAGAATATTGGTGTATTTTTATCTGATTTTGGACATAAATAATTTAATAATGTGCTTTTATCAAATCTTAAAATCAATGCATCTAAATAAGCTTATATTTTTCGAATTATCTCAATATTCTTACCTATAACTTTACCTATTATATTCAGTATATCAGAATTTGGATTATTATAATTCATTTGTTTTTATTGGTATTGTTTCAAAAATATCTGATTATTAGGAAGCATTAGGTCTAAAAAACTAAAGGATTAATATTTTATTATACTCTTAATAGGTAGTATATTTAAACATTGATATTTCTCTTTAATCAAAACGTATTTACTAACTTGATAGAAATATTTCTAAATCATTTCTCGTTATTCTATCTTTCTCATAAGCAAGCTATTAATTATTACAATTTTTATAACATGTAAAAAGCAAGTTTAATAACTTACATTGTTATCTGTAATTTGAAGAATTAGACTTTGCTTTAAGTTTTCTAATTCTTTTTCTCCTTTAACAATATCTTTAATCAAATGAACAATTGTGTTTTTACTCTAATTTGAAAACATAATTATATTAATTTTGTAGCTGTTATGATAAATCACTCAATTATACTATGGTATGATTATAAATTCATTTTTTAAATATTTACAGATATTCAAACATAAATATATAATTGTTAACTATATATATATAATGTCTATAATATTATAGTATTGTATTTTAAGTAATTTTAAAGAAATTAATTTATCATATTAGTTTATTTAAAATAATAAATACCATTAATTATCTAATTTTGCAAATATCAATAGAAGTAGTTATAAATTGAATATTTAATTTTACACTTTCTTTAATTATTAATACATTTCCAAAAATGAATAATTTTATATATATATATATATAATAATATATTCTACATTAATATAGTATTTTATAAATTTACAAATTATTAGATTATTATACAAACTCAAAGTTATCTAAAATATTAAAATCTAAATAAATAATAAGCAATTTTATAAGATTTCTTAAATGTTTTAAAATTTAGCTTTTATGAACAGTTCAATTTCCATATTCATTATAGATTATTGACTAACATAATTAAAGAGTATAAACTACAGAATTAAATGAATAACATAGAAGGGTTTTCTTATTATATTGTTAACAATAATATTGAAAAATATAAATTTATTATCAAAGAAATGTCACTGTTTTTACTTTTTTTTCTAACATTCTTTTCAAAGTGAATTAAGGAGATTAATAATCCTAAGATAGGTAAATTGATATACAAGAATTTTTCTAATATTTTCAGTTAATGAGTCCCTTTTTTATTTAATTTATGGAGGATCCCTGATTGTAATTATTGATTATCTCTAACTCAAGCTTGGTAGCTTAAATTTGATTGATTAATTGCCTTTTTTTATTATGGTTCTTTTAGTTAAATCTATTAAGTAAGCATTTCTCTCAACCATAAATGATCTTATTTGAGGTAAACTCTCTTAATGATGTGATGACATGTTATTATATAAATTTTAATTAATTTTGCAAAATTGATATTAAGTTCTAATTTTTTATGAAGTCTTGATTACATATTATAATATAATTGTAATATTCTATGAAAAAGAAGATGATGAATTCAAAATTAAGAATAATAATATAAATCTAATATAAAATTATTAAAATTGTAATCTTATATTACCAAACATCCATAAACAATATTTGTGAATATTTTCAGTCTTATAATTATTGTAATTTTTTTTAAATGTTAAACAAACCTTTATAATTTCAGATTAAATTATAATCAAATTTCAATAGAGATATTGAATATGGGAAGATTAATATAGTAGAAAATGGATATATTTTAATTTATAAATATTAAAATAAATGCAAAAATTAAAGTAAGAGTTCTGCATCATTCAATAAAATTATACATTGTATTTATATATATATAATTAAAATTAATTAACAATATGAATTAGAAATTTAAATTCCATGAGAAAAGCCTATCGTTACCTTTAATAGTTAGAAAACCAATAGCAGTTATGAATTATAAATTGTATGAAAAATATCAGCACTCACAAAATTACTATTATCTAAGAGACATTAATGAAATTTTAAATGATGCTAGTACAAAAATAGTAATTCATTTTAAAGATTAAATAACTATTGATGAAGACGTATCTATTGTATTTAATATATATAGGAAGAATATCTTAAGAGATTTTATAAAATAAAGGAATTCTTTCAAAAAATAGGGTTACTTACAGAATATTATAAAGTATATTTTTGATATGAAATAGTTTCATGTAGATATTGCACGAATATTTTAAGAGCCAATTTGTTCAATCTTAAATAAATATTATGATAAGAAAAGAAAGTATGATTATTTTAGGATTGCTAAAATGATTGAAGAGGAAAACAAATTAAATCCAAATAAACCACCTAAAGGAATTGTTGGTGAAAGACCTTCACCTGCAAATTCATAAGAATCAGTTCTTTAAGAAAGAGATGATAAAGAAGATCAGAATATCAAAAATATTTAAATATTAAAAGAATTGAGTTGGTTAAAAGTAAAACTTTATCATATATCTACATTAGCATGAAAAAACTTTGCCTAAAGAAGTTTCTCAAACCATAAATGAATTCTGCAAATAATTAGGATCTGGAGGAGATTAATCAACTCTATCATTAGTTAAATATACTAAATAAGACAAGGTATCATTAGATAATTTCCTATTATATATTGGAAATAAAGCGAATTTGAATTAGAGAACATCTCCAACTGCAAGATAATCTTAGGAATAATTGATCCAAGAATTAATAATGAATTAGAAGGCTAAAATTTCATAAAAGGATAATAAAAGTTATAGTATGCATAAAAAGAATGAAACTAAGTATAGTATTGGTTCAATAGAGATAAGGAACAATTTTGTAAAGGATCAATTTAATAATATCTCAAAGAAATCTAATCGATAAGCATCAACAGATATAATAGAGAGTGGAACTAGATTAGAAAATAAACCATAAGATTTAATTAAAGTGAAATCAAAGACTATAGTAAGTAAAAATTAACTTAAAATTAATAAATTCATTGGTGATCTTAATTAAAATTCTCCTACTTTATCTTTACATAAGATATCTATAGGTTCTACATCTTTGAAATCATAATAACCTCTTATTTAATCTTAAAATAATCATAAACCACCAAATCAATTAACTAAACTATTACTAGAAGAAGCTGAATAATAATAAAAATTAAGAAATGGAGCAATAACACATAGACCTATGTCTGGAACAAATGCATTTTTTGGATCATCATCAACTAGAAATAGTCCTACAATTAATTATTAAAAATTAAATATTCCAAAATAATTCAAAGATGATTATTAAAAATATTAGAAATTAAAGACTACTAATTCACCTTAAAAAAATCATTAATTAGGAATGATTGCAAAGGATCTATTTATTAAAGCATTGAATTCTCAAAAGTATAAGAATTCAATTCATATAAAGTAGAGTTCAAATTAAGAAAAAGTACTTAATTAATATAATAAACAAAAGTATAATAATGTGTAATAATAATAATAATAAAATAATTTACTCGAAAAGAAATAACATAAAAAAAATAAATCAGATGGTAGAGCTTTGTAAAATAAGTTATCAATTCATGAAATTGGATGTTTGACTGATAGAAATATTAAAGAAACTAATTAATTATTAAGTAAATTAAATAAAAATAGTTCTCCATAAACAAGAAGATTACATAGTGAAAAATAAGAATCACTCTCTGGTAATATGAAAGGGATTTTAATTTAATAGATGTTAAAATCATTTGCCAAATAAAATCTCTAAAATTAATAGGATCTTAAATGTCTAATTAAAAATTAAAAAAAAAAGTTTTGATTATTTAATTCAATTATTTTTAAAATAATAAATGTATTATATATTTGATATTTTATAATACAAAATATTTATACTTTCAAAGTATTTTATATTCAATCATAGATAATTAAACAATCAATTTAAATTTATTTTCTAAAAGATGGTTATTTTATTGCTAAACTTTTTAATTCATTATACAATTTATATCTTTTTATTTGTTTCTCATAATTTTCTGAAATAAAATTCAATTAGATTGATGTATTTCTTCTCAAAACATCACCTAACATACTAATGGGATTTTATATTTAATCTTCATTATTTATGCTTTTAAAATAATCTAATAGTAATTTTTTTGCTTAATATAACCAAATCAACAATAAGTTTTTTTAATCATTTTCATCTTCTTAATCTTCCTTTATTTCATAAACTAAATCATCTTCTTATTTTCTATTAAGATTAAATATAAAAATACAAGTTTTTGTAAATATAATTTTAAATAATATCTTCTTCTTCATTTTATATCATTTATTTTATTATTAATTCTAGATCATAATTTACAATTGTTATTGGTCTTTTATAACTGAAACTTTCAGTTTTATTACAATTCAACATACAAATTTCAAATAATAATTTAGAATCTAAGAATTTAGATTTTTGTAATTGAAATAAGAATATTAATACATTTGTTTTGGCTTAAATGATTGGAATTTGATAATAAAATTACTCTTTAGGAATCTTAATATATTAGGATTCACAATCAATAGTTCCAAAATATAATAACTATTAAATATCAGAATTTCCAAAATTAGAAATTATTTATTTCATTTTTATTCCCCCACCAGTCAATCTTATTTATTATATACAATAAATAGCATCAATAGAAAATCTACTTTCTATTAAAAATTATTGCCAAACTTAACCTCTAACAGTACATTCGAAAAGTAAGACAATATAAAATTATTTTGATAATCTAAATAATATTAAAATTAAATTTACATAGATAATGTAGATTTCAATTCTTTTTATAATGCACATGCACAATAAGAATTATCACATTTTGATCCAATTATTTATGAACACATTGTTATTTCATTTTGTTGCTCCCAAAAAGATTTTCGTTTTCCAAGCACCAAACCTTTTGATAATAAATCAAACTTACTATCAAAATTCAAAACAATAATTTTATTTATTTATACATCAGTTCGTTATGATAAATATAAACATTTAATATTTACTCCTTTTTTCAATTAATCATGTATTTTGTTTTATAATTTGATATTTATTTGATGATCAATAATTTCTTATCTACATAATAATGGTTTAAATATAGATTCTTTCATTTTAGTAACAACAATATTTTTATTAGGAGTTAAGATTGGTGAATAAATTTTTGGTAACATTAACTCCTATGAATTACGGTCAGTATAATCCTCATTTTGTTCCTATCTACTTTTTAGTTGAGTACTCTTGCTCATACTAAATATCTTTTCCTCTTTTGGAGTTTCACTTCTTTCAGAAACTTAAACATTTCTTATTTTAAACACTTATATTGAATTTCCACCATCAATCGAAATATCTCTCTCTTAACTTGTATTATTTCTGCTTGATGTTGGTGAACCTCTAGAACGATTAGATTTATTAGAACTCTCAATTTCTGGGAATTTAAACTTTCTATGTATTAAATTGATTGATTTTTGTTGCATAGTTATTAGTAAATTAGAATAATATATCAACATAATCAATAGTCTGATAATATAATATTTTTTATCTTATAATATACTAATATCATATATTAATCATCAAACACTTATGAGATTGTTAATTAAATAAATATAAGAATGATGATAATATAATTAAAAATTATGAGAAAGAAGGATTATAACCAAAATTCAAAATTAATTCATATAAAAGTAAGATAATATTTATTAATAGAATTCAAAAAGACAAATACAAGATAGCAAATTTAAAAAGTAAATTAAATGTTGATAATATAAATAAGTAATAACAAATTGAAATTGTAATGATTAAATTGTCCTTTTAAATATAATTATTCAGTATTATAATTTTAAATAATCAATAATTTTGGAGTCATTTAAAGAAGGAATATTATTAAAGGACTTTAAAATTATAAAATTATGATATTAAAAAATAATAATAAATAACAAATGAATAGATTCTTATTAATTATTTATATGAAATAATGAAATATTTATAATTGTATTTTTGTATAACTTAATATTTTCAAAAATATAGATGTGAAGTCACATTACCCATAATTATTCAATCTATATATTTTACTAAAATAAAAATATCATCTCTTAACCAAAGAATATTTATTTTATAAATTATAGAAATTCTGTAATAAATTAAAGAACTTTAAAGATTTGTTGTTGAAATGCAAATATGACAATTACTTTTAATTAAATATTCAAGAGGATTTTAATGAAATTATGTGAAACAAAAAATCAATTGTTGATTTAAGTTTGAAGACATATTAGCAGAATAAAAATAAAATAATTGCTATCATAGCAGATATTGTTGCATCAATATAAATTTGATCATATAGAATACAAATGATCATACATGTTATATTTTGTCATTTTTAGAGTACTTCTATAAATCATAATTCTAAAATAAATGTTTATACTCAACTATAATATCTAAACAATATCATTCTTAAAGTAATAAATTGAGAATATAATTTAACATGAGATTTGTATATAGATTATAGAGGATCTTTAGACATGACTCATGATTGTAAATTAGATAAAGTTTAAGAAATGTTGGGTTTCATTAATGATATGCTTATTTATGAAATAATTTGAGTACTTATCTGTTTTATTAGTGGAATAATAGATAATATCATACAATATATAGTCACTTAGTATAGATATGATTAGTTCATTAGAGACTGTTCATGATGATAGATTGTTTAATGATGTAGATATCTAAAATTATATATATATATTTGTTATAGTATTACTTCGATAAAATGTTAGAAAAGTTCTTTAAAATTTCAATTATAGATAGACAGACAACTAATTCTGATTGCTAATCTACAAATTTGTAGTGAAAATATTTCCATAGGTCGTCTATTAATATGAATAACATATATAACATTTATAGTAAATTTAATGACTTTCTTGACTTTGAAGATAGACCAACTACAAGTCAAAGTGTATAATAATAACTCAATAATGTTGGATAGAAGATGAAGGAATACAAGGATAAAATATTCACTTCACATTAAAGAGCTAATTCTAGTGCAACAAGGAATGAATAAAAACATCATACTCAAAAGTCTAAGTCTCCTATTTGGGATAGAATGAATTCATAGAATTCATAAAAGAAGAAAATATTTGATGATGCTCCTGTGGTTAAAAGGACTAAGCCTTAAATTTTTAGTAAACCTGAATGGAAATAAACAAATCTTCAATTAACTAAACATGTCTAATCTTAACCATCTGAAGATTTAGATGAAAGTAGTTTGACTGTACAATTTTTAATGACTGAAGATAAAGACATAGATGAGATGTATTATAAAGAGAATAATGAATGTGAAATTTTAAGTTATTTGATTACATAGATGGGTAAGAGACCTACACTTGAAATATAAGGTACTATGATAGAAAATTTGACTCGTAAAAATAGTGAAATAAAGAAATAACTATCTCTAAAATTAATGGAAAATTAGCATTAATTGAATTGGTGTTATTATATGTGGGATGCATTATCTTTTCGAGTAAATTAATGTTGTGCCAGAATTGCTAGGGCTAGATTAGTATTAAAATTATTGAAATAAACACATAAAGATTTGGGATTGAAAATATAAAAGAAATAAAAATAAAAGGAAGAATTAGAATTATAAATATCAAATGTTATAAAATTTAGATAAAGATATCAATAAGTATTTGAATTAGTATGTGAATTAAATAAAGATCAAATAACTAATGATAGTTGGTCCTTATATAAGATAATTTCTATTAAAGATTTAGTTTGGACATAATCAAGGGATATGAAATAATAGATGCATTTATATTATTGCTTTAGTGATATAAGAGGATATATTGAAACTTTATTTCAATAATAATTAGAATATTCATATCGTTTCTTTACTTAAAATATAATTCTAACATTTGTTTAAAATAATAGAGACAAAGAAGAATTATATAAAATGTTAGATAGTATGTGTGATTATCTATAATATTATGAATTGAATAATAAAAGTATAGATATTAGCAAATAGATTCGAACATCACTTTAGAGTTAATTTAGAAGTATTATAAGACAATAATTGAGAAATGAGAATGTAGACATCTAACCATTGAATTTTAACAAATAGCTTATGGTATTTTAATTAAGTATTCTATTAGAAAAAAGGAGTTAAATATGATTGTTTACATTCTTTGAATAAATATTTGACAGCATTTTTAACTTCATTCTATCTTACTTCATATTCTTTAGGTCTTATTGTTTAATAATTTTAAAGATTATTATAAATTAATACTTAATAAAAGAAATAACCTTTATTGAAGAAGATAGGATTTCAATATAATATTGAAAAGAATCAATTTTGGCAATATATATAAGATAAAGTTGTAAAGAGCATAAGACATACTAAAATGGATGCATAATGTGTTTATTAAGATTGGATTAGATTTGAGGCTTTGATTTTTAAGATCATATAAATAGGTGAAGAATTAAGTAATTTGAAATCTTATACACTTTTATTTCATTTAAAGAATACATTAAGATTAATTGCATAAGGATTAAGCATTAATGTTATATAATGTTTAAGTATTTAAAAAGGAATGGGATCAACTGATATTGTTAAACCATAATATTAATGTGTATTATTTAATAAATTAGATATTTATGTTGAGAATAGAAGACTTAATATTTAATCTTAATATTTGAATTAATTATTAGAAATGAAATAAATATTACCTCATTTTGAATAGTAATAACCATTGTAATCAATAGAAAGTCCATATAATAAGAAAGAAGAATATTACTTTATT